ATGCACGTAGCCACAGACGTATTCACATTTGTGTTCGGTATTGGGCAGGTAGTTATCAACAGGTAGCGAGAATCATTATCATCGGTGTCCACCCACTTGTTCACAACTGGATTATAGCAGCCCGTGAAGCACCGTGGTGCAAGGCAGAATCCCATCTGGGCCCCCATACCGCTGATCAATTCAGCTTGTCTGTCACACCCTGCGATATTGATGGCCTGATGCTGTATAGCACCGAGAGCCAGTGTTGCATCCCTTCCCGTGCCTGCCGTGTGACAGTATCTTCCAGCAAGCTCCTCTTCGTACTCGCAAAAGCGTTTGTGCAGTCAAAATTCGCAACCACATGCGATGCTGTGTCCTCCCTGCATCTCCACTGCGTTGCTTGCAGTGGACTGATTGCCTCCTCTCTCCCCAAAACTGAGGTCCTCCGTGGGCCCAGTCTGGTTGTGATATCTCCGTCGATCGTCGGTGCAGCCCCGAGTGCCCGGCCAGGCCCCAGCTGCAGTAGTTATGCATCGCGCGTTGGCCCAAGATGCCCCTCGTCCCACTATTTCTACTTGAAGCGGAGCTCAGAACTCTCAGAATGTCCAGCGGCATACAGTTCGCCCGTCGCACAAGCACAAACCATATTTCCAGCTGTTGCTGAAAGATTGTTGCACTTGACCCTGAAGTCTGCTCTCGTCGTACTTGCTCCTACAGCGGCTCTTCCAAATCTCCAGAGTGGATCCTCAATCACCTTCTGTGGTTCCTGTCCCTCCTCCCTCTGCCTCCTCCCGAGTCCCTCGCCGGGAGACCACCCCATTTGTCTTAACAGTGCGTACCTTTTCTCCCTCCATTTTTGGGCCTGCTGCTGCACTGCCTCCTCCTCCTTTACCTCGGCAAGCTTGGCCATCTTAGCAGCGTGCACATCCGAGGCCCTGTGTGGACTCCCATGAGTATGTCGGGCACGAGTACAGAAGAGATGCTTCGCAGGGTAGCCCCCAGCTCGGCCAGGCGCGCCTTCTCTTTGTCCTACGGAGGTAGTGCATCATCGCAGCCCTGCCACTTCTCACAAGGGCACACAAGTCCACGTGTCATCATAGAGTAGTTCCTCATCGTCCTCCTCACATCCTTGTTCGTAGTCCCTCCTCAATTTGTCCCATCCACCCTCCGCCGCTTTGCACATCATTCCTCCCTCTTCAGGGGGTCGTCCGAGTTCTCTCTCCCAGTCAGCAGCCGTCCAATAGCAGCAAGGTGCAAAGTAGTATCGTGTCTTTGGACCTTCTTCCTCTTCTTCTCTTCTAACGCACTCACCTCCTTGAGTATCCTGCTGGTCTCCTCGAACTCCTCCTCCTCACCGTTCCTTCCTCGCAGCTCCTTCCTCTTGTCTAGTAGCTTCATGCGTACTTCTCTGAGCTCCTTTTGCCATTCAGGCATGTCTCGGCGCCTGGTCGGGAATGTCTCTTGTAGCGCGTACCGCGCAACTTTCCCCAGAGATTACATAGCCTGTCGGGTGTACGCCTGGGTGCCACCTCCTCCCACGCCTCCTCCTCTATCTCCTTTTTTTCCTTCATCTTCTCGAGGAACTCCTCTCTCCTCACGCCCTCTCTCACAAATTGCATCAGCATATGTCTGTCCATCCGTGGCGTCTGCGCTACTCTAGTGCAGTTGCGGTATTGTAGACAACGGAGTCGGTGCATACCAATCGGTACGTGATCACGCGGGCACCTAAACCTGATAGTTTGTAGTTTCGTCCCTGCATCTTCCAAGGTACTACAGTGTTCAACCAATTCTCTTAGAATGATATATGCGTCCTCCTCCTCCTACCTTGGATCCGTACATCGTTTGCTTTATTTGTTTCGCATCTGTGGTAGCAATAAACAGTTGGTTTTCTTCACAGAGGGCCCGAAATCGTTTCCGTTGCTGTTTTCGGGTCTGGACCATTATCTTCCTATGCCTCTTCCTTGCTCCGCATATATCTAGTTGCGTCCCTTGCCAGTCCAAAGTCGCTGTTGATGTCTCCGCCTACAATTGGTGTGGTTCGCACTCCTCTTCTATCGCACAAAGAGTCGGACCAACTGCATATCTTGTCCGCCGTCTCAGCGCTGCACTTTTCTGTCGCAGGCGGAAAGTATGTTGCAGCTCATAGTAAGTCCTCCTGCGACGTCTATAGTCGGACTGCTCCCACTCTTCCCTGGAGAATATTGGGTCTACAGCAAACCTCCTTAAGGGCGGACCTTGGAAACTTATGTCTAATAAAATTGCCAACCCACAGCAGCTACGATTGGTGTGCTTGGACCCTCTTCCCCTGCCGAACTTAATCCCCCAATGATGGTTAAAGTGCACTTGTGTGGTGGGATGGTCGATGTCTGCCCTCTGCTGCGTGCCGCACACCATCACGCAATCCCATGACTTCAGCTGCTTGCTGATCTCGCATAGTCTGTCGTCATCCGCTGCAAGTGGGCTAAACGTAGCGAACCGTACCATGCTCTCCCCCCACAGCAGAAGCAAGGAGATTGCAGGAGCACAGGCTTTCATGCGCAGCGCCATGATCCCCTGGCCCAGCTGGAAGCATGCTGGGATTATCTGAGGGGGCTGTTCTGGCTCCTCCAGCCAGCTGGCCGCCGCTCTCGATCACACGCGGCAGCTAGCAGGAGGAGGAGGAGGAGCAGGAGGAGGATCAGAAGCCGGCCGACGGCTGGCAAACCCGTGGTTGCTAAAACGGAGCTCCGGGAAGTTGTTTTTGTCCTCCAGGAAGCAGCCCGTTTACTATTTAGTGAGCTGAGCTTGATTTCAGACAGTTGTTTTTTTCTTCCGGGAAGACCGCTTGAGCATCCACGTATTTGCTAGCCTTGGCCCAGCTTCCAAGAGGAGGAGGAGAAGGAGGAGGAGGAGGATGGAGGGAGGACGGAGGACGGAAGACTGAGAAGGAGGGAGGAGGGAGGAGGGAGAAGGGATGAGGAGGAGGAAGAGGAGGAGGAGGAGGAGGAGAAAGGGGGAGAAGAGCGCTCCAGCTCAGTGGCGTAAGTTTGCCCAACAACAAAAAAGGAAGAGAGCGGACGAGCTAGGTGCGCTCGCGCCATATCTTCCCACCCGTCCATTCCCACTGCGCATACGTTTCTCCCTCAGCCAACTGGCGTCGTAGCAGACCTGGAACCCTCAAAATGACCCCTTCTCGTGCCGTTCGCAATCAGTCGGGCAAGGTGTGCAAATCAAAAAAAAAATGAGCAGGAGGAAGAGCGTGAGGACGGAGGAGGAGAAGGAGCGGCAGCAGGAGCATAAGCAGGATCAGGAGTAGGAGGAGCGCGAGGAACCGGAGCACCAGGCGAAGGCGGAGGAGGGGAAAAGAGGGGGCGACGACGACGAGGAAGGATCCAGATGCAACATGTGGCCCGGGGAGGCCAGGGAGAAGAATGAGAAGCAGTAGTCCACGCCTCGGCCCCCTCCACCATCCACCCTCCGGGGCGCGCTCGCGGAGCTGGCTCAGAGGGCGCGCCTCGCGGGGGGGTCCCCTTTCCCTCTCCTCGCGGTCGTACTCTGTCGGCCCTCCTCCCTCCCTCCTCTGGCCAGAGGCCGAGCTTGCAGACGAGGCCGCGGCAGCCTGCCCCAGCAAGAGGCCGAGGCAGGCACGCTGCACCATCCAGCGGGGCTCGCGACAAGCGAGGGCGCTCGTTCGAGCGCCACGCTTGCGCCGAGGAGGCCCCACCACTGCAAAGTGAAAGGAGGCCGCGTCGGATATTTTGGTGTCCTGCTCCTCCTCCCCCTCCTCCTCCTCCTCCTCCTCCTCCTCCTCCTCCTCCCTGTCTGTCCTTCCCTCCTCCCTCCTGCTCCTCCTCCTCCTCCTCCTCCTCCTCCTCCTCCTCCTCCTCCTCCTCCTCCTCCTCCTCCCCCATTCCTCTTCCTTATGAGTAGCTCCTCCCTTTCGCAGCCCGAGGCCAGTCGGAAGGGCGGGCCCGGCGTTCCGCCTGAGACTTCGAAACCATCAATGATCTTGAAGGTAAGGAATTGGCAGCAGCTTCACAGATGGAAGGCGGGCGGTTTCCAAATGTGGCCCTCGCGTTAGCGCCGCACACATTCGCGCTCAGCATTTGCAAGAGCTTCACGGTTTGAAGACGGGTAGTTTTCAAAAGGTGGTTCTCGTTTTAGCGCCACGCACGTTCGTTTTTATTGCAAGCGTTTTACGGACGGAAAACGGGTGATTTACAACATGTGAGTATCGCATTAGCGCCGCGCATTGTCTTTCAAAAATAAAGAAGCGGGCATCTTGAGGGCGGTGTTTTTCAAAGTGTTGTTCTCGCCTCAGCGCCGAGCACATTATTTTAAGATAATTGTGAGAGTCTCACAGATTCCCGCGTTTTGGCACTATGGTGTTTGGGAACGTCTCAGATTGTCAGGGCGCAACAGTTACGTTTAATCGCGATGTTGAAGTTCCAAGAATGGCGTTCTGGCAGTATTCAGGATCGTCAAGACGCAACAGTCAGGTCGGTTCTTCGCGTTGGGGCCCCGAGAACAGTTTGCTGGCCCGCTTCAGGATCTTCAAACGGTTGTCTCCCAACAAGGCATTTTCCCCAGTGGAAACCGATCCTTGTCGGGGCCTATGACAAGGGAGATTGGAGGGAGAGTTGGTTTCATCTTGTAATGGTTCTTGCGTTTACGCTGGCCCTCCTCCTCATCATGCTCCTTCTCCTCATCATCCCTTTCCTTCCTTCTCTCCTCCTCCTCCTCCTCCTCCTCCTGTTCCTCCTCCTCCTCATCATCATGTTTCCTTCTCCTCTTCCTCCTCCTCCTCCTCCTCCTCATGCTCCTGGGGATCGGCGGTAACAGGCATAGCTGACGGCAAGCTGCACCAACTCAGGCTCTTGGCGGCGAAGGCTGAAGGTGCAGCTGGTTGACGCTACGGTCGACCTCGTGCGCGGACTGGTCGAGAAGGGCTTGCCCGTCTCCTGGAAGAAGACCAAGTACCTCGCCAACACAGTAGACGGGCAGGAGCTGCCAAGGAGATCGTTCGCCGGCACGCGTGCCAGATGGCCGACGTGGCTGCGCTGGCCAGGCTGAGAGGGGCTGGCACGTGGGCGACCCCGCTCAATTGGACGCCATTGGCCAAGCTGCTCGGACCGAGGTCGGTGGACGACGCCGAGTGGACGATCAGCCACCAGCGGGCTCTTCGAAGCTTACTCGGAGGATCCCATTGGACGCAGGCCCGGCTTTGCGACGAGGGCAAGACGGGCAGCGACCTGTGCATCGTGTGCCGCGCGGAGCGGGGCACACTCTGGCACCGCTGCTTCGCTTGCGACGGCCACGCGGTGCGCAGAAGGGACCGGTGCCCGCCAGAGCTGCTGGCCGCCGCGCGCCTGGTGCGCGAGCGCGGAGAGGCGGCGGGTGAGCTGTTTGCCCGAGGTCTCGTGCCCTGTGCGCAGCAATGCTTCTCGAGGTCGGAGGCTCTAGAGGCCCACCACCTTGTGTGGCACACGCGGCCCGAGGGAGGCTTCTTCTCGGGTGATGTCTTCGTCGACAGGAGCGCCTTCGACGTGGAGGACGACTCCCTGACACGAGCAGGGTGGGCCATCGTGGCCTTCAACGACGACCGGGAGATCACGGGCGCGGCCCACGGCGTGGTGCCGTTGATGCAGGTACCGCTGCAGGAGGCGCGCGACGGCGAGGATTACGCGTTCAAGATGCTGGCGCAGATCGGGCAGGGCCCTCTCAGGGTCCACTGCGATTGCAAGGGCACGGTGAGGTGTGCACGCGACCGGGCCTTCGCCATGCGCGAGGCCAACGTGCGGCGGCACCTCTGGTCAACGTGGTGGTCCGAGACGGGCGACCAGGAGGTGGAGGTTGTGAAGATCAAGGCGCACCTTGGGGTGAACGCGACGACGAGCGGAGCAGGCCGGAGGGGCGGCCGACAGAGGTGCGGAGGTTCGCCACGCCCCTGCAGCGCCATGGAAGCTGAGGGGCCACAGCATTTTGGCAAGGCCGTGCGACGACGAGGATACAGTGCTCTTCTGCATGCAGTGCGGTGCCAACGCGCAGGTGCCGCGGAAAGGCCGTGGCAGCCTGCTGGGTCCGTGCCACGGCTCCGAGGCCGCTGGACTAGCAGAGGCGCGCTGGCGGCTGCGAGGCGGCCTGCACCCGCACCCCTGGAGGCAGAGACAGAAGCTCGGGCAGCCTCGAGCTCTCACAGCCGCCGAGCGGAGGATTTGGCGACCAGTGCTGGCGCCCGACGCTGGCGAGGAAGAGCAGGGAACTCCAGTCAGACCAGGTTACGGGCTGAGCGGCTCAGCTGGCGGCGCCTCCACATCTTCGACGTGGCGCGGCTGCACGGGTTCCCCAGCCCAGCGGAGGCAGTGGCTTGGGAGCGCCCGGCGGCGCTAGACAGCGAGGGCTCTGAGAGCGACGGTATGGCGTGAAGGCAGTGTGCTGCATGTACCTCCCGCCCTGAGCCGTTGAGGCCGCCAGGCCTCGGCGGCTGTGCGGGCCGCCGCGGCGGCCCAGGTGGGCTAGACTAGCCAGCCCTCTACCCAACCCAACCCAACCCAACCCTCCTCCTCCTGCTCCTCTCCTGCTCCTCCTCCTTCTCCCTCCTCCTCCTCCTGCTCCTCTCCTCCCCCTCATCATCATCATCATCATCATCATCATCATCATCATCATCATCATCATCATCATCATCATCATCATCATCATCATCATCATCGCCATCATGAACATCAGCAGCAGCAGCAGCGGCAGCTTCATCATCATCATCATCATCATCATCATCATCATCATCAGCAGCAGCAGCAGCAGCATCATCAGCATCATCATAATAAGCATCATCATCATCATCAGCATCCTCATCATCATCATCATCATCAGCATCATCATCAGCATCATCATCATCAGCATCATCATCATCCTCATCATCGTCATCATCGTCATCATCAGCATCATCCCTTTCCTTCCTTCCCTCCTCCTCCTCTTTCCCTCCTCCTCCTCCTCCTGCTCCTCCTGCTCCTCCTCCTGCTCCTCCTCCTCCTCCTTCTCCTCCTCCCTCCTCCTCCCTCCTCTTCCCCCTTCCGCCTGCCCCGCCCCCAGCGGGAAGACGCTGGCCTTCCTGCTGCCGAGCTTGCTGAGGTTGCTGTCGGCTGGCGCCGATCCTGGGCCGTTTGTGCTGGCCGCGGGGCGGGGGTGCCTACTGGCGCGGGGTGCCGCTCGAGTTTCTTCTGCTGTTCCCCAGACTCGGCGGCGAGCCTGGGGGGAAGTCAGGGGGGGCGGGCCTTTTCAGAAGGCTCGAAAGGCCTCGGGCATGCTGAAAAGATGTCCAGGCCTTCCCCGAAGACAGAGACGGCGTCTCAGAAGGCCAGGGGCTTCTGAGAAGCCCCGCCGCCTTCTGAGAAGGCCTGGCCCCCGTTCTCTATTCCCCCCCGGGCGTGCGGCCAACAAACAGTGCCCGCAGGGAATTTCACTTGCGCCTCTGAGGAATTGGATGGGTCCAGCATTGATGTTCCACGTTGCCGCCTGTGGCCGCTTCGTGCGCTGGGTGGATCCAGTGGGGTTCCGCCATGTTGCCGGCCGTGGCCGCCTCGTGGCCGCCTCATGCGCTGGGTGGGTCCAGCAAGACTTCGCCACGTTGCCGCCCGTGGCCGCCTCGCTCGAGGTTTCCTCATGTCTTCGTATATTTCCAAATCTTTCCCAGCCTCGGGATGCTTTCCAACAGCTGCGCCTCGCCGAGAGCGACCCGGGTGTGTCCGAACAGCCGTTGGAGACCCGAGTTACGACCCCAAAACCAGAAACCAAGCCTCCTCGCGTCGTGGTAAAGTACGACGGAGGACTTTTTGTCATTTTCCTCCTCCTGCGGGAGAGCTTCCCCCCTGGGCTGGTCCAGTGACGCCCGCGCCGACCGTTGAGCAATGCGCTTGGTGCGGCTAGACTGGGGCGCCCGAGAGGCCCCAGGGACCCAGCCGACATACCACACCAACCAGGGAGCAAAACCGCGTGAGTGTTAAGTGACTATAATATGAGTTGAAGAGGTGTGGATGTACCATGGACCCTCCTCTAGGGACATTTTCGTTGACCGAGGGTCCCAAGCGTGTCTTTGGCCCCTTTCGTACCAAGTGGTGGCAAAATTGCAGGTTGACTGGTGGGGGCAGGAAGCTTCGCAGCCCCACTGGTCGAAGTTGCGACGGGTGTGAGGCCCATTGGCGGTCCTCACTGGCGAGGCCCACTGGCGGTCCTCGCCGAGGGGATGTGCGAGAGGGAGGGGTGGGGCGCACCGCGCGTCCGAGGCCGTCTCGAAAATGACACTTCTTGAGGACGCCTGGGCGGGCAGACGAGAACCTGGCAGGGATCGAACCACTTGCGACCGAGGGGAAGGTGAAGGAGGAGGAGGAGGAGGACAGGAAGACAGACGCCAGACGAGGAGGAGGAGGAAGACGAGCATCAGGAGGAGGAAGGAGGAGAAGAGTTCAGGGCCGAAACCCAGGAGGGCGGCGGCAGGAAAAGAGGGGGCGGGGGGGAGCCACTCCAACGCCCCGCGCCTGCCTGGACATCCGGCCAGTTAGATGTCACAGTGGGCAGGCCTCGCATCAGTTTCACAACGCGGGACAGGCACAACTTCGCAACGCGTGCGGGGAAACACGACGACTCGGCGAGCAGGCGTAGGCGCACGACGCCACATCGAAACGCGACGAACTCCCTCCCGTTCACAGCGTCGGCAGCCCCGAGGGGAGAGGGTGGCCTCCGTCGGCCCCTGCCTGGACACAAGAAGAATGACGGGGAACCCCTTGGGGGCGCGGAGCGGCATTCCTGCGCGGATAGGCCTGCGCACCCAAAATAAGGGACGGCTCGCCGACCGTACTACTTGCGATTCTCCACTGGCGGGGCCAGGGGTCCTCAGCCTGCTGACCTTGATGGAGCACGCGACCAAGACCTGGCAGAGCGGAAGCACTGGACTTGGGAAAGCCTGGCGTCCAGACCGTTGCGCTTCCGGGTGACACCCCCGCGCGCACCCAGCCACCTCTGCGAGGGGGAGGGGGGGGGGGGGAAAGAGAGGGGGGGCAGCAGACAAGGGGGGAGGAGGGGGGAGACGGGAGGTGTCCTGAGTTCCTTTTTCTCCCCTCTCCCTTTTGTGACAGACAGGCGTGCCGCAGCCATTTGGGCTTCAGGGGCACACTCGTGCCTGTGGACTGTTGGATCAGCCGCGCTTTCGAGAGTGCCCCAGAAAGGACATCACGTGCACATGCAATTCTTGTGAGCCCCCATGCCTGCTGACAATGATAGCCGGAGCGTGGTCGAGGACGCAGGGGAGCATGGAGGCAGCGGTGCTTCGACGGAGCGAGCTATTGAAGGCACGGACGCAGGTCAGCCACAGTCCGCGGGTCGAGCTGATGCCCATGAGGATCAGAACGACTACGTTGATCCGCTCACTAGACGAGATCTTTGGAGCAAGCCAGACGATAAGCAGGATGAGACCGCAGCCGGTCAGTCCTGGTTCACCGCAGCCGGTCAGACCTGGTACGACTGGCAAGGTTGAGGTTGGTACGACTCATGGTGGGACTATCGATCGCGAAGCGACTGGTGGTCTTGGGATGGAGTCGAGAAGCAGGTCTTTATAGGCAACAAGGATTTATCATCTCCTCCGCCCTGGTTAAGCATCGAATATCTGGCGCTGTACACATCCAACGTGATTTCTTGACAGGCCAGGACGTCGTTTCGCTTGGAAGTTCGGGCAGGCCGAGTAATCGAGACGTTTTCTGTCGAGCTCCAGACCAAGTTGCAGGCGATACGGGACTCGTTAAATCATGGTGAGGGAATGCCACGGTTTTTCTCTCATCTCGAGCTGCTCGCGGGACAGCGGCCCAGGGACAGAGAGAGAGAGGCTCACAACGAAGCGATGTTCGACTTCGCTATTCACAAGGGCGAGACCCTTACAGGCTTCATCGTGCGCAGAGACAACCAGCTGGCCACCGCAGAAAGGATGGGCTTGTCATTACCAGCTTCAGTCAAGGCTCGATGTTATGAAGAGGGCTGTGGATAAACTGGTCAAAATTGCGTGAACCTGAGGTCCACGCTGAACGGGCGAAAAGATGTTGCCTCAGTGCGCATTGCCATTCTTGAATTAGACGTCGCCGAGAGAGGAATCCGTCTTCAGACGGCCCTCGGAGCTACGTCGTCTCGCCCTACGTTTGCTGTCACTGGCGACTCGCACGATGGGCCATCGGGGAACGACGAGACACAGCGCACTGGACCTCGCGAAACGGATTTCGAAGAAGAAGAAGAAGAGCTGAGTGCCATTTTGGCTGCGCTCGAGGCCCAGGACCTTGGAGAAGAAGAGATGGTCGACGTCTTTGCCGAGGTGACGACTCCCATTAGACGTAAGACTTGGCAAGAGTCTCGGGCCCACAAGAACAACCGGCGAGTCGATCGCGATTTCTTCGATCGGCGTCGCGAGAATAAGGGGGGGCAGAAGGGCAAGACCTCTCGCGGGGTCAGCCAGGGCGATTTTAAACGAAGCTCCCGGTGCTCCAACTGCGGAGACAAAGGCCATTGGAGAGAGGATCGTCGCAAACAATGTCGCAGCAAGACCGACAGAGTCAAGGAGGAGTCGCCCAGTCCATCATACTTCTTCGATCTGCAGCCGGGTGCGTCTCAGGCCAGGAGTTCGCGGCTCGAGTTTCAGGAACACAGAGCTTCGTCGAGCCGGCTGAGTCTTCGGTGTCGGATTTTTCCGGGCAACCACCATCTTTCTACAGAAGATGGGCACATGTGCGTTGGTCGATGCTGCAGCAGGCCAAGCGCTAGTAGGTTCTCCAGATTCGCAAGATGGTCGAGGTTTTCAGGAGTCGCGGATGCGAGATTCACATAGACGATGGCGTGAGCGATCTTCCTGCTGCTAACGGAGTCGGAGGCCGATCTACGCCGATAGGCAAGGCGCTAGTGCCAGCCTCACTGGCGGGATGCGGGGTGATGTAGCTCCTCATTTTGGATCGTCCGCGTCCGTCGCTCCTGCCGGCCAGATATGTAGACTTCATTCAGGCCGCGGTCGACTCGCAGCAGGACATTTCCATTGTTGGGTCGGAGAGAGAACGCAGGCACATCAATATGATCAGGCTTCCCTCTGGACACCGAGCAGTGGATCTTATCGGCTGCGACTCGCCCAGCTTTCGATTGAGCCCAGACCCGACGATGCGCTTTCCGCTTGTTTGTGACAACGGTGAGGGACAGGTCGAGTTGACAGACTGCTGGGTTCAGATCGAGGATGGCCTCCGACGAGTTCACGTTTGTCCCCGAGTCAGATGGTTCAACCCCCATGAGTCCGACGATGCGCACGCGCCAGCTGATGATCTTCAGGAGATGGCGAGAACCACCTGCCAGTTCCTTGACACGAAGGCCCAGCAGACGCACGCCTACGATCGGAACTGGATGCCGAATG